GTAGCAGCGAGACGAATGCCTTTGGGGCGCTGGTACGGACCTGCTGCCGCTCAAGTTTTCCTTCGGGATCACACTCCCAGCAACTGTTTCGGCGTGTGCCAAAGGGGGGAATGTATAGGCTCGGCTCGTGTGTAGGATGCGTACTTGCTGTTCCGACAGGTCACCTGTCCGCGTTTTTCATGTTTGGACGAGGCACGCCGTCCGTGTGCGTATGTAACCGCTTGCTCTTGGTATGCATACCTCCCCGTACCTTCTCCTTCTGTATCCCCCGTTGACCCCTACAATCCCTTTCCCTCGCCGGCCGGCCTGCCCGCCCTCCCAAGATGCTGGAGTGGCACAACTGGGAGGTCCAGCGCGCCGTGAGCGCCTTCATGCTGGGCGAGATCACCCCTCCCCGCAGCTTCCTCATGGGCAACAACAGCAGCGGCAACAATAACGCCTCCGCGGATTCCTCGGGGTTTGGGGGGCTGGGCGGGGGAGCGTCATCGGGGGCAGGGATGGAGGGCATGGTGGACGGGGATGTGGGTGGGGGCGGGGAGGGGAGGGGGGTCGGGGGCGGCGCGGCTGGGGCTGCCCCGGGCGTTTTGTCCGTGGTCGTAGGGCTCACCATTCCGGTTGCTGGGGAAGGTGGGTGGGTAGGTGTGCTTGTAGCGGTGCGGGAAAGATGCATCCATGCATGCATGGCACGGAGAGTGTCGTAAGGCTGGGTGCAGCTCTCGTGTTGCTTGCGTCGGCGGTCGCGATGCGCTTGCCGCCGGCAGAGGGGGGTCGCAACGGGGTTGCTTGTTGCCGTCGTCCACGAGCCCCCCCCCCCCCCCCGCTATCTTGGAAACCATCCGTTGTACTTAAAAATAACTGCTGTTAAAGATATCCTGATCCCTGCAACGTCTCCGCAAAAGCGTCTCCTGTTCCCCATCCATGTTGCCGGAAGAAAGTGTGTGGAAAAAAACACCTGGGCCAAACCGAAACCGGTTCTAGAAAAAAATCCTTCCACCTCCCGTGTGTGTGTGGC